TATCTCCTCTCGTTAGCGGCTGGCTTGCTGATGCCAATTTGTAAATTATCCAAATTATGTTTGCCCATGGCGGTCCTTTCGTTTAACACGCGTACGTTGAAGAGAAGACGAGAAAAAATGCCCCAGACCGCGAAATATATATACACGCAGTATCTATATTATTTAGATCTATATATTTATTGAGGCTCTAGAGCTCGAATTAAAAAGAAGGTGCGCACGAATATCCAAAGTTCCCCAACATTTATTTTTATATTTTTGCGTACTTAAACTATTATTGTTTTTTTTTTCTAAAATTAGGGTGACGGAACAATCTAATACCGGTACTAATTTTTTTTATCAATTATGAATTTATATTTTTGCCTACGATATTGCATGTTATGGTTACTGTCAATAATTGAATTAGAAAATGTAATACGTTTTACAATTTCTAATATTTTAAATTTTAATTTTAATTATATTTTGTTAGCTTAATAACATGCCTATACCGATTTTTAGACTATTTTTATCTTAATGCATTATCGCTTACACCGGTTGCGACAGCCAATTCCGTTCATCCCACGATTCCTTCTCTCTCGGTGGACAAAATAACAATTCTATCATTTTTATCCCGACATACCGTTCATATGTTATCAGTTTTAGATATTCTTGATAGTCATTTATGAATTTATATATGTTATATATGTTTTATTATGTATCAATTAAATTTATGATCTGTATTATAAGTGAGTTTAAACGAACGTAAATCCATGTTCACTTAAACGGATTGTAATTTTAGGTTTTTAATTTTTAAATGACATATGGAGAAAGTTGTGATTAAGCCAGAATAGCTAGGAGATATGTAGCGCTTCATCTTTACGGTTATGTGTTAAATAATTTTGCACTTGGAACGACATTTTTAAATCGTCATTAGATTGAGCTTCTCTAGTTAGTTTATTATAATTCGAACACTGTATCTAAATAGCAGTGCGCTGTACGCCATATTGCCGAAGTGTATATAATATTCGACTCATTGACGTCGCTATCGGTTGTTTATAGTATATTTATACGTTATTGTCACTTCAAACGCGAGTGAAATAAGCAATTGGACCGCGCGAGCGTGCCGAGAGTTTCGATCATCTAAACCGCAGTCGAGTGTGCTCCGGCGAAATTACAAGGGGAGGAGTATTCAATATTTCGAATCCTTCCGCAAGCACGTAAAATCAAAATTAAACGCATTCTTCGAGTATTTTAATAATTTAATATAATCACAAATACGACGTATGTACGTGTCAATATCGCTTAACACGCTTTTATATTTTGTTTTTTCGTACATGACGTACACTCGTTTTAATCTTCATAATAAAATACATTTTTGTGGACATATATTATCTGATATTAAGTTGTTGTGTATAAAATATTACGTTTTTATTTATTTATATATTTACTGAAGGAAAAATCTCCATATAGAAAATAACCTTTATAATATATAAAAATATGTATTAATTAAAAATTACAATAAAAACTATAGTTAATATAAATTATCTCAAAAATTCTCTTTCCATAAATATAAAAAAATAAGCATATCGTACGTAATTTCATAACCATAATAATTATAGTCTACCAATTAATACTTAATTAATGTTATAATACATTTAACTTTCAACTAGGTAATAGGTACATTACACATTATAGTCCAGGGGTAGACCTCTAAAATTTTTAATATCTAAATGTATTTCGTGTCATATAATTTCAAAGATTTTGTCGGTATAAAGGCCTCTAATATTTTAAGACAAATACTCGTACTTTTTCACACTCCTCTAATCAGAGTAAAATAATATATTGTTATGTAATTAGATAAAGGTAATAATAATAATCGTATATATATATATTATATATATATATTGATGCGCATATTAGTTTAACAGGCATTTATCATATACATTTTGTGTCGAATCCGAACCTATGAGGGGGTCTTCTGCACTAGTTATAAAACTAAGGTACGCAGAAGATCATGTAGTGGAAATTATGAAAAAATAATTAATAAATATTTTTCTAATGGTTGTTAGTTGTAACAGACCGAATATTTTATTTTTTCTATATTTCGTGTAAATTGATAAATAATAAATACTGTTAAAATTTACCTAAATTACTAATTATGTTAAAAATGTATTAACATTTATAATAGTTTTATTTTTAATCATAAATGACACATGATTGATTCGTAATACATGAATTAAAATTATGTTAAAATAAAAGTTCGATATCCTCTGCTGTACTTTGTCCATCCACCCTCTAGCCCTGCAATATAAATGCTTCTACAGGTAATGGATACATTATATTCTTTTACGTCTTCTGATGCTCGCCCGAAACTATCGAATAGGTATTTTGCGTACGGGGTAAAATATTTTTAGCGACCACGGATAATTTTCCACTCACAAAACGATATTGTCGTCGGATGTGCATAGACAGTTTAACGTCAATTACGACCGCGTCACAGTACGCGTATTATACTATTTAATATATATTTATGTATATATATATATATATATACAATTATAATAGTGTATACGCCACGAGCTTATTGTCTTGGGCCAAGGGCCATTCGCTCGCACAATGCGGTTCAACATCCGGACGCTGCTGTCATAGTCGTCCCGGGCCATTTGCCAGTTCCTTCCGAGTAAAATATAAATGCCCGCACCGATGACGACGAAGAGTACGTCTCTATTAACCATTTATATGTATATAAATATATACACATAATGTGTGTGTATGTATGCGTGTTTACGAGCACCGTCGGCCACCCCCGCGATCATCCTCATTGTATTATTACATAGAGCCACGAAGCACCCTGCGGACTTTAAAAACTTCCGGTTCCGGTCAGACATCATTGCAGTACACACGTGTACACACATACATACGTTTTGTCGCAGCGTGGATATATAAAGCTGGCGCAGAGGAGGAGACCGTTATATATATTGTATACAAACATTAAACCGTGAATATAATATATAAATTGTAAACGAGCAAAAGAAAATCTGTATAAAGTAATATCCGATACCTGATGGTTATCGTAGAGGTTATCAAGGAAGCTTCCTCTGAATGTTCAACGTTTTAAAGGATGATGGGTGATAATGACCTGTTTGTATATGATTATTTAATATATTAACTATACTATTTTAATATTTACTAACTATGACAAGTTATTTACTATATGACAGCAAATGTCTTTATCAGAATTTGGATAGGTGGATTAGTGCAGGATGGAATATTAAATCTGTTTCTTGCGCCAATTTATTAAGAACCTATGGCGGTGATTGGTTTAACAGTTGTTTAAACAGTAATAAATTCCGGCGGAGCTTACTTTTGATCTGAATCCCCCTTCCGCCTTCAATAGAGGTTTTTTATAAAGAATAATACTTGTCGTTAAAGGAATATATCGTCCGTTTCGCACTTGAAACGCAATTATGTGAGTTGGAAGTAATTCTGTTGAATTCGAAAGAGTTCGCCGCCGATCTACACTGACACTTAACTTTTAAATGTAATACCTATGTATTAAATTAAATCCATCATTGCGATATTCTCGAATGATATTAAAAATTAATTCACGTGATAAATAAAATAAGAAAATATAGATTTACCTCCGATAGTGAAGCACAACAACTGTGACCAATGGCCGTTTTCATAACACTTAACGTACCTATATATATATAATTACAATATTTTTTTGGCTACTTATTTCAAATGTACGATTGCAAGTGTCGCGCGCGCATGAATCGACTATTAGACACTATAACATAATATAATATAATTTTAGGTACCAAACCACGACCGATATCGGTTTGGCCATACGCACTGACTGAATACTATTCCACACAGTACCTACATACTGCAGTTATCGGGCATTCTTTGGCACCGCCGCCGCTGTGTATCTATCCTTGAGCCACTGCTGGAATATTAATTTCATAATCACCCCACCGACAATAGCTGAAACATGGTTTTTTAATAAGCCTGATTATGGTTTATTGAAACTTCAAATTGAACTTCTCGTATTGTAATGAAATAGTAATATGTTCATCTACGTTTTGCTTCCCATACAACTCGATAAATACCTTTATTTTTGTCAATTTTGTGATAATACTTATAAAATGAAAGTACCTATATCGTACATGATATTATATGTACTCTTTAAACACATTGTGCTCCGTCATTCATATCGTACATTGTATATAATACGATATTTTAAAACAAATTAAAAAACAAAAATACTTAATTTTACAGCACGACAACTGATCGTAGATATTTCGTCGCAATAAAAATTAACTGAAACAATATTTAATATTTACTGTCATTTACAATAGTATAGACTGTATAGTACTTAATTAAACAATAATAAAATATACATATAATTAATAAATAAATAAATAGTAATAAATGTGGTACCTAGTTGTTCTGCAGGGTTTACTGTACATATAATAGGTGAATTTATTGGAGATATGTTAAATTTGATTTTAATAATAATCATTGAATACGAAAAATATTTCTGAACGAAGATAGTCCATAGCGCTGTATTTCTAACTGATATTTCATTGCTATTAAAATAATTTTATTTTCTATTGAAAATATGATAGATTGAACAATTTTTTTCCAAAAATATATATAATACTCGTAATATATAAAATTATTTTTATATTATTATTATTTTGTATAATTTTTAAATAGCTGTTATTAACTTACACTAAGTATGCAAATCAATACCAATAGAATTTTTTTCATTTTATCCCCCAAAATGCCAACTAAATTCAATTTGCTTCCTAAGAAGCCACCTTGATTTAAAAAATTGAATAATTTTGTCTAAAGTCACGCACACGTATACGTCATTATAAAGAATATGTTTGTGGTTGTTTAATAATACAATTTATTCAATCTATATCATTGGTTATTTTAAAATACCATTTATTTTATATAAATAGATGACTAAATCACCCATGATTAATATTATATAATTTATAATTTGTCTACAGAAATGGATTCAGACCGGTGTCTGACCCTGCAATATCCAGACCAATATTCCTTCCGCCTCATTTCGGATCGTTACCATCTCCGTTATTCAGTGGTCTCAAAGGTAAGAATCAAATAAAATGTATTTAATGTAAAGATATGTCATAATAAAATATATTTATTTTTTATTATTTACATAATTTATACATACAACACATAATTAAAATATTTATTTGATTGAAAACAATGAAAAAATTTCATTCATTTCATCTTGAAATATCAAAACATAGTTCTATTTATTGGAAATAGTACCATCAATATATTGCCTAAATAGATTAAAAGTTAGACATGTATCCACGACATTATTATTAGAAGCATAGTTTTTGGGAATTATGATGACCGAAAAATCATTCAAAATATCTATGATAAAATCAATACATCAATAAAAAAAAAAATAAAAAAAATATTTTAATTTTAACCATAAAAATTACAACATTTAAAAGAAAAGTATTTTAATTTTTGATTTATTAATTCCTTCATATAAAATAGCTAGTGTTTGTATTGCAATTGAACATAAATAAAATAATAATTATACCTGTAATTATTAATATTATCTGTACAGTATACAGTTATTATATTAGACAAACTTTATTAAATTGATAATAATTAATCCATAAAATGTGTTTATCAAACAAAGAAAAATACTGTAATTAATTTTCACTAAATTGAATCGTGTAAACGGAATTGTATAATAATGAATCATCAAAGTACCTATATCTACAATTTTAAATATATTACTTATTTAATAGCATGTCAGTTGTAATATTGAACTTTGTTAAAATGAAATTACAAACCACACTTAGTCATCGAAGAATATTTTACTAAAATAATGAAGAGAATTAAGGACCACGTTAAATAATAGTACAGCTATATATTTTACGTAATAAGCACTAAATTTATAACTTGGGAATTATTCTGAAACTATACTTACTAGTTTTAGTTCTGCATTCATTCTGAAGACGATTTATCTAATATACTATCATAAATTATCTTTATTATTGGCTTAGTATTTATAGGTACTAATACATTGCGTACTATATAAATTATAGATTGATATGAATATATGATACTTCAAGATATAGGTAGTATAATATTACGAAATTTAATATTAAAAAGGTCTGGGTATAAAATAGGTTTACATAATAAAAAAATAAAATTATATAAATTTATTTGCATAACTGAATATTATTTTTATATCATTTATTATTATACAGTATAAAAGAAAACAATAGGACAAAGATAATGCAATACATTATGGGTGTGACAGATGTGGATTGTAAACGGAATAAAAATGAACAAAATTTAAAAAAATACATTTTTGTACAAATTATTTATTCTATCTATCGATTTAATTTTAAATTTTTAACCTATAAACATATACAAATTCATCGTAGATTATGATTTAAAAAAATATATTTCTTTCCGATCGATTTATTCTTTGATGGTTCGTATCATTATGTGGTTTTTATCATATTATAAAATCTCACTGTCAAAAATTAAAAAGCAAATTAACAAAACGTTTTCCCGTTTTCGTTTATGTTTTAAATTTTTATTTACTATATTAATTTACTTTATATTTTACTATTGTTTATCTTTCTTCTTATAAATGTTTGTAATTTACTATCTTTGTGTAATTAATAATAACTAATAAGTAACATACACTATTCTATAATATATTATTCGAAGAATTAACCCTTTTAAAGTATAAACAATAAATAAATAATAAACATGTACCTCATTTCGTGCAAATTCGTGCAAATATTTATGCGATATGCTATAGCTGGTTGTCGAATCTCGTTGGTGTTCATATAAAATGACAATCGTTCGTTGTTGATCTGACCGTTTAGCGCCGATACACTATAATATTATTATACACAGAATATAGAATATTATTACAAATTACAATGTTATATCGTCTATACATAAACATATATTTTTTAATATAATAATTAAAATTATATTATTATTTTATCTATATATACGAATATAAATATAGCTATCTTCTACAAATTCAATACTTTTGTACATGTTAGCGGAAGAAAAATACATTTAAAATATTTAAAATTAAAATCTAATAAACTGTATACAGAAGAAACTTACGATAAAATAAAACAATTAAACTAAATATTAACAAGCAAATTAATATTAAGTGAAAAATAATTTATAATGAATAATATTCAATTTACATATTTTATTGTACATTAATGAATAGTGAAGCAGATGGCAAGATTTTTTATCATTGGTCATTTTAAGATTTTTAATCATAGAAAATATGTATTTTTTTATTTTAATTTATAAATTAGCAATAAGTTAAAATATTTGAGATTTACAAAAATAATTTACAAGTTTTTGACCAAAAGATTATGATGTATAATCAATTTTGTAAGCATCGTATTATGCCCTATTTTTTTCTTTTATTGATTTTATATATCGACAGATTTGCATACAATAGTGCTGATAATCGAAAAACTTTTTTTTTAATTTTGTCAAAGTCTCATAATAATGCACACCTAAGAATTCACACATTTCGTATTATCATAATGAATAACAACTTTCTTGTGATTGTTCCTATATTATACCATACATTATTATACCTCATGACTGCAGCGCGAGTTTCGTGCATAAATATAGTAAGGTTAAGTCACCGTGAGGCGGTTTATATCTACGGTAGAATATTTACGCACATAAACACGCGCGCGTATATATAATATGCGTTTGTCATTATAATTGGCTTAGAGAACGTCGGCGGTTTCATATACACCACCACCGCAGCGTACACTTATCATTACCCCCGCGGTATATTTCGAGTCCACCGACGGTATAAAAGCGGATGGGGTGAGGGGTTTATCGCGTTATATAGTTATTGTGGCGAAGGAGCGGGTGCAGATCGGGGGGCGGTCGGTCGCGAGTAACATATATATATATATATACAGGGTGCAGGCACCTGGGGCCTCCACACCGAACCCCCGAAGCTCACACACACACATTACTGTGCCCACCCCCGCGATTCCGGCAGTCCCGTTTCCATAATGGAATAACTTTGAGAGATTTATCGTGCGGGGCAGCGGCTTTCGGCGCCAAGTTTACGACGGGTATATAATAATAATAATAATAATACTGTATACACGCGCCCTACACCTAAATATATATATATATTCACACACGTACGCCTTATTTATGTCGGTTGCGCGGGGTAGCAACACATATATGTGTGTGTGTGTGTGTGTGTGTGTATATGTGTGGGTACAGTGGGTACATTATATAATAATATACGTATATGTGTATGGTCGAGGGGTGTGCCGTGTGAGTGTGCTGAGAGAGTGCGAGAGACAGAGACGACGACGGACGACAATGAGGACGAGGAAGAAGTCGATGTGCCTGCGCGGGCGCGTTATGATAATCAAACGGATCCCTTAATAAATAACGACGAAACGAGCGCGCGGAGTAGGTGTATGCCGCCACCGCAGTTGCGTAGTCGTTATTAATGGATCGAATGCGGCGGCGGCAGAGAAAGGGATGCAAATATTATATATATATATATATACACCGCATCAGCAGATATTATTATACAATATCGCGGGCCAGAGGAAGCGGCGGTGGGCGCGTCTTTCGCGGGGACCACGAGACGGCGGCGGCGGCGATGTGTACCTATACATATTATTATATACATAATATATTATATAAATATATACGCGGGCGACTAAATCAATTTGCACCGACGCCTTTTCGCGCGCCGCAATAATCATAATTGTTATTACGACTATATTATTAAAGCACGCGGGTGCGCGCATATAAATATATATACCGCAGGGTAGGTTCCGCCCGCGATCGACTAAATTTTTTCTCAGTCATTAATATTCGCCAGTCTGAAAACGGATGCGTCGAGGACATTCGGTTTTACAGCAGCGGCGGCGGCGGCGACGGCGGCGGATCGTCCGCTGTCGCACGATAACGGGTGGTGGGTGAGGTAGAAGTAAAGGATTTTAGCGGTCCGATTTTTTCATAAACATTCGCCCGGTTCTCCTCCTAACGAAATTATACCAACGCCGTGATAACGAAAAACGTCAACTATGTCGCTTAGGTATAATTACCTACATCGTTATATATCATCGCATTCCCAGCGAAATTATAATTTTATATATTATGTTTTGCAGCTGCGGTAGCAACGTGTTTGCTCCTACTCATGAGTCATGATATACTTATCACTCGTTGGATTTATTTACTTAGATTTCGTATACAAATTTGAAGTTTTTAGTGCCACTTTGAGTGATTAAAAAAATCAGTTTCCGTTTCTAATTATATCTTATCATATACATATTATCTTATTATATACATACTACACTAATTCACTATTTGGGTTATTTTGTATTTTCTAAAAGTCTTTGATATGATTCCACAAATGAAGCAGGGTTTTGACCTAGGCCGTATGGCTAGAACAAATCATTTAATTTTCTTTTTGGTTTTATGGAGAAATCGCAACATATTAATGATATCCTAGGGCGGCATTTGTGCTAAATCTTGCCCTGGCAACATAATATCACGACATCGAAGTCGTTGATAAATGAATATCATGTTCCGATGTTCGTATATAGTAGGTAGACTTTAAAGTAAAATCAAATAATAAAAGAAATATTATGTGTCAAAAGTTAGTAAATAAGTAAAACTTTGAGTCGGTAACTGATACATAATAATTGCTTGCATATATATATTTATATGCAGTATACACACACACATAGAGAGGAAAGCGATTTTGTGGTTTCTTAATGCTTCGTATACAAAAGTTAGATAAATTTAAATTGCTTCCAATGTTTTTCAATCGTCGAAGAAGAATCGATTTGGTTATTTTAAATGATATTACTGACATTGCAAAGATAAATAAAAGAAACATCTTCAATAAAACTATTGAAAAAAAAAAAATAGAAAACCCACATAATTTGTTTTGCATAAAACTGAAGCAAATGACTGATTCAAAAACAGTACCTACTCGTATTTGATAAAATAGCCATGTCAACACCGTTAGAGTATGATGTAACATGGTTAGTAAGTCGTAAACAAGCGAAAATTGCTTAATTAACTAAATATCTTCTTACAGTACCCGAGTTACGACCAACACTATTTTATTATAATGTTGCCAAGGAAACAAAGAATTATTTTCCACGTCGCCATAATAAAATTACAAAATGTTTTATTCATAATGAACGCAGTCGTTTCTTTACATTTACTTTCGACGTTCCATAAAAGGTTTAAAATGGTTTCTTCATTATTCAATTTAAAATAATATAAAAATTAGAGTTAATTAAAAAAAAATGTCATGATTAAAATTGAAACACCTAATAAAATCAATTTATAATACCAAACACTGGTAGTCTCACTCGTAGGTTTTTAATAATATAATTGTGTTAGCTGTTATAATATTAAGATGTAGACGGCAAAAATAAACTAAAGTATCAAGTCTTGACTGACACATTTTTGGATTAATTTACCATAGTTATATTAGCAAATTATATCGTTTTCGTAAAATTAATTAAAATATTCATAACTTATCATTATTTTAGAGTCAAATTTCCAAATCTTCGCTCAACAACTAAATTTGTCTTATATTAACATTTTTTACACAATAAATGACAATAATTAAAATATTAACCTTTAGTTTAATACCAGTATTACCTATTTAAAATAAATATCTATATTTAAAATTTTTTTCTCGTTTTGGCTCGAGTAAATATTTTAATTGTTATTGCCGTTTTCAATAGAATTTGTCGGAAATGGATATTAACATTTTGACAATCGAAAAAATTTACAAAATTTTATCGTAATAATATCATTATATTAGAAAATATACATACGAAAAAATCTCATAGCTGTAGTTAGTTTATGTTTAGAAAATAATTATTTACATTTAAATTAAGTGTACTTGTATGCCTTTAAAAAAAGTTTCTTAATTCACAAATTTACAAAGTAAATTGTAATTTGTATTAAGTATAAATTTTAGGTATGAAGGGAAATTCTATGGGCAATTAGTTAAAAATTCCTAAGTTATTTTCATTTTTCCAAAAGTTTGGATTTTAGATTTCTCAAACAACTGATTTAATTACGCTACTGTGATTTGCATTTAACAATAAATTATTAATTGTCATTAATGAATTGATAAAAATATTATAACCCATATATGCATATTAGTAATAATAAAAGTTGTTTACGAAAAAACTAGTTACACTCTATACTTTTTGTTATTAACTGGTCCAAGACAGGTTACATTAAAAAAAAACCGTGTACTTACTGCACTATATACAATAAAAATTCACCACAACCAATACAAGTTTAATTCGTCCACAGGGTTCGGATGCAGCTGTTGCACGATGAAGCCGTTCGGATCGATGGCCGACGGAGGTAGCGGCAGTGGCGCCGAGCATCGTTCGTCTAGCGTGGCCGAGCTGCGGCGTAAGGCTCAGGAACACTCGGCCGCGCTGTTCCACAGCTTGCAGCACGTGGCCAACATGCAGCATCACGCGGCCGCGGCCGCTGCGCTCCAGTTACCCGTCGGCCTCGGGCTCCAGTTGCCATCGCTCACGTCCACACTGCACGCGCTGGCCGCCAACCGGAAACCGGAACCGCAAATGCCGCACCCGCAACCGCTATCGCTGACCACGACCAGTACCACCACCACTGCAGCCACGACGGAACAGGCCACTTCGATATCGCCGCCACATCCACCTACGTCGTCCGACAACTGAATCGCGGGCGACCGGCCTTAGTACTAGACCTAAATAATTATTGAAGTGGTGGTCACATTCACCCCCGCAAACGCCTCGTCATTAACGATCGACGGGGTTCGACCCAGCGCGTATATTCTTTGCCATATTATTATTATTATTATTATTATTATAAAAACAGCATTATTACTACAACACTATCGTAAGTTGTCAGTGTATCATATTGTTTAATTTGGGCGCATGTTGTGCAGGACGTGTGTGCGTGAAGGATTCGTTACGATTTCAAATTGGCCACTGCAGTCAAAAATTCTCCGGAAACACACAAAAATATAATACTACGTATGTAATATACGCATATTATTATTATGCGCACGAAACAAAATCTGTTGACAGGCTTACAGATTCAAATTTGTACAGTAAAATTACATCGATTAAAATAATATTAAATTTTTAAACGTTACGTTAACTTATAATATGTCGGTTTCTGTTTGTTTTTTTTGTTTTCGTTCGCCCTATTTTTTTTTTTGTTTTTTTAATAATTCGTCTGATAATTTTAACTCTCTCTCTCTCTCTCTCTCTCTCTCTCTTTATCTATCTATTATTATATTAAACAATATTATATACAGTCTTCATTTTCTCATTATATACGTCTGTTTAGTATTATAGTTACGTATTATTATCATTATTATTATTATTATTATTATTATTATTACATATACACACACACGACATTAATTTACGGATACCATATTTATACTAAGTGTAGGAAAACTATTATTATTACGTAAGTCGTGATTTACGTTAAGTGAAAAATATTATCATGAAAAAAAAAAATTAGAAAATGGCGTCAACGATAGCAAATATGTTTTTTGTTTTTTAATGTTTCCGTTTAATTCTAAGGTGTATAGAAAGATTAACTTAATTCATAATTAGGTAAATTTTATTTATTCAATTATTTATTCATTTACGTGTCCCGTAATTGAAAAAAAAACGACACAGCAATATTGTAAGCATACTCAATGAAGCAATATAATATGATGTATTTTTAATCATTTATTGTAATTTTTCATGTCGTTACAGTATACCTTAATATATTATTATACATTGCTATGCCGATACCTAGTAGTTGTTCAAATTGTTACCTACTATACGTTTGGTTGCATATATTGTTTTAATTAGATGTTTTCAATGTATGTATTATAAGTGTGAAGTATTATCATATTATACCCTATGTATTATTATATCTTTTCAATTATTATTATTTCTTTAAATACACCTCCTAATAAACTTATCATTCATGATACCCCACAGTATCAATTTGGTATACGAAAACAATCTGCGGCACCATTACATCAGGAACATCAATAATATAAAGCGTACTTATATTACGTAGTATATAAGACATAACATTTTTCAATACGTTATTCGTAAGAATTATAGACTGAACGTGCTATTGACGATCATGGTTAACTCGGAATATACAATAGGTAAGTATTATCTATATGATATATTATAGTTATTGACGTTATTGTATTACCGAAACGTCCGAAACATTTATATTATAAATGCATTAAACTATAAATATTAGAAATATTTAACATAATAATATTTGTTATGAAATAAAATTATATCATAATACATACAAAATAACTAGGTATCTATCCAGAGATAGTATTTCTTTTCTTACCTAGTAAAAAAGTTATTATCTTAATATTTTATCAGTAGAAAGAAGTCTGCTTGCAATTTATGCCAGATTTTATTGATATAATTAGTACATTTATAGTTGGACATAAAATATTATTATTATTATTTAATCAATAGGTATTCAATAGATAAACGTTATCACTATTTATTTTACAGAAATATAGTATACAAATAATTATTGAAAAAAGTCACATAAAATATTGTTTTGTGAGTAGAACTGTAGAAGGCTCCAGTAAGAGCGCGATCACTATCTGTGGAGTATGGACACTTCTATATTAAATTATTAATCATGATAACCAGACATTTTTGTGAAAACTTCGTGGAATAGGATTAAAGTAATTTAACACAACAATCATAAAGTATCAAAAATATAAAGTTAGACAAGAGATTATAATTTACCAGTAGGCTGTAAATTATATAAAATATTAAGCTAATCGAATAGGAGCCGTATTACTGGAATTATAAAACTATAACATATTTACAAACATAAAAAGCAGTAAGTATATAACATGCGTTTTATATAGGTGATCTGTTGTAATACTTATATATACATATAACACTTCTCGCAATACAACGCTTAAAACATAAGATATAACTTGACTAAATTACACGAATTTCTTTAAAAAAAAAAAATAAATAAATAATATCGTTAATACTTGATATTACAAGTTTCATTTCAAACATCTGCTTATATATTACTTATTTAACGTATAATGTACATAATACAGTTACTGTTGTCTGTTTGCGCTTGTTGCTTGTTATAATATTATTATTACACCTACAGCAATTTAGCAAAATAAATGATTTCTCTATATCGTGCGTCACTATACCCACCAACGTAAAAGCTAATATTGGCTATTTTAATATAACCATGTATAAATAAGTACGTATGTACGGTTAGAATTTTAGAAATACAATCAAATACAAGTTGAACGTACAGATTTATGGAAAATCTCAGTATATTTTTAATTTATTTTATTATACATAAACAATAAAACTAAACTGTCAATAATGAGCAAATAAAATTTTCACACAGTTTTAGCTATACTGACCTACCTCATATACATCATGTATACGTGGACAATAATAATATATGATTTCTAGTATATTGTTAACACATATGTATGTAACTTTGCACTTTGGTGCTATAAAACGCCCCTACGCTCGTACGGCGCCGGCGCGTATCACATGACGAGTATTGTATAATAATATAGCAAACGCTAAAACGTTTCAAGATGAAATTACTTCCCGAAATTGTACGATTCATTGTTAAACTATAATATTATATATATAAATGTATGTGTGTGTTGTATTGTCGTAACAATATGGATTTAGTGCCGGATATAGGCTCTTAATGTCTTTATAGACTACAGTCGATTATCAACAATATAGCAGCCGTGGGGATCACGGGTACAACAATAATAAAACGTGTAATTCCCTTCGTTTTTTTTCTCCCTACTAACGGAACGGTCGGAACGTCCCCACAATTTATGATTCCCGGAATGAAACACACCGATATATGAATAATATACGCGCAATCCCCTCAGATTACAATGCCGCTTGCACAATCGAATTAACAGAGTAAGAAGAGTGTCACAAACAAAATTTCTTAACAAAAAAAGAAAAAAGTGTTACGTACGATTGCGCGACAGATTTACACGCTGGGAAAAACAATTTCGCTAATTTATGCTGTACGTGTATGAGTAGACGGAGACAAAAAAAAAACACTCCTCGTTGCATTTCCCAACAAAACTTAAAATAAATTGTAAACAATTGTATACAGTCTTTTTAAATTTATTTGAGAAAAAAGTTTAGGGGGCACCCGGGTTTGAACCGGGGACCTCTCGATCTGCAGTCGAATGCTCTACCACTGAGCTATACCCCCGCGATGTTTTCATCGGGAATAGTTAGTTTGATATACAAACGTTTTTAATTTAATTATAATTATTACTAGGTACGCGAAGAATTAATATGTTTTATCTTTCACGTCATTATTTATCAGAGAATTCATAATATTTATTAAAAGATATCAAGCGATGAAACAACAATGAGTATAGTAACACATGTCTTGTTGATAAGATTTTATTGACATTTGTAACAGGCTGTCGGTAGTTTTTCAAAATATAATAATTACACAACTGATGAGTAAGTATCCATATTTCTATATAAACTTTTGAATCTTTTTCATTACCTCAGAAAAAATAACTAATGGAAAAAAACAATAATTATATTATTTATAAATGTAAACTGTAGCAGTATATTTATTTTTTATTTTGTTTTTGTTTTTATTTTTCATGTAATCTATAACTGTGTTTTTAATAAGCATAGATATATATAAGCTAATTTTATCAGATAAGATATGAATGACTTACAAACCTAACCCAATAGTGAAACTATGTAATATGGCATTATAGATCTGATTTTTGATTCTGAGCGGAAGCGATGAATGTATTGATTTAACAATGATACCTACATGGTTTTTATATTTTTTTAAAAATATTTTTCTGTTTCATTACTTTCACAACTTGACCTTTTAAATACTTCTATTTTTAATTCATATATTAACATATACTAGAAATAAAAATATTTTGGCACTTTTCGTGCTATTAATAGGTAATTTAAATAAAGTTTAACTTAAGTTTTTTTTTCGATTTATATGTGTAATCATTTTTTTTTAACTATATTTTAAAATATTATTATATATTGTACAAACTACATTTTTTTTTTTTTTTTGAATTTTGAAATTTTGTCGAAATTCGAAAATAACAATTAACGATTTTAGTTTTTTTTTCAATAATATTATCCGTGAGAACGAATCTTTAATGTATATTAATGTACTTTATATAAGCATAAAGCATTTTTTAAATATTTTAGTTAATTTTAAGCTATTAATTATTTATACTATGATTCTATCCACACCATTCTACTGTAAATTGTTATTTCTCAAAAGTTATAAATAAAATTATAATAAAAATATGGTGCAATAATAATTAAATATCAATAGTATAATAAATACTATCGATATTCAATACTTAACGTATTTTTTTTTTTGGCAAAAATAATCAAACCATCTATATTTCTAATAGTTAAATGTTAAATAAGTTACTATACTTGTAATATTTTCTTATTCATTCTGTTAAAATAAATAAAAAATAAAAATATGTTAATACTTCATAAATTATATTTAATTTTATAGATTAACCTACATGGATTATTATGTTATATCTTCAAACTAATTCCAAATTAACTACAAACAAATACGATTATAATTAACTTATGCTAAATGTAGGTGTTTTATTAAAATATTATTATAACATTAACATATTTATTTAAGAACCACTACGACTAGTACAACTACACTATCTGCTTTTCCAGGCAATATATGTACACATTGTACACCTATACTATAAGCAATTAAGATACCTAACAAAAAATGAATAATATTTTTCCACTACGAGTTTGTATTGTTACAGAATACATATAATTGCATAATTTGAACTTTGTTACACAACAAATACCTATAATATACACTTAAATCCTAATACATTTTTTGCCAGTATAAATATTATAATTTCAATATTATTAATCATAATTTATACTATAATAGGTATTCTCGTACACTCGCTTCATTGCTCATAAAAAAAATACATTCCTATTTAACTTGATACTCTATAGTGCTAATATTAAACATAATTGGATAAATATTTATTATTTTTTTCTGATTTGGTCTTGGTACAGATGATATTTCCAACATATCAAGTTTACATAATATATATTTGTTCAAATAAAATAACTA